TTATAAAAATTAGAATATAACTGACAAAAGGAACTTTCGTGTCACTAAGAAATATGTGGAAGCTTGGGTTATTAAAAACAGCACTTGAATATTTCACTCTAAAGTGTAATCAATACTGCAGTAGGGAGCAGAAGTGGACTAAAACAGTTGCAGTAGTATATTTAAAAAAAAAAAAAGAGAAATTCATTAACTGCTACCTGAGTAGAACAGTTAAATGGTATCATAAAATAGAGCTTTGACAGAAGAGAAGTAAACATTTGTATGTGAACTTAGAAGTAAGGGAAAGATACTGAAGCTGTAGAGAGCACATACTAAAAATATCCTTGCACTGGAACTTGCATAACCCCAAACAGAAATACTGAAGAATATGTCAACACTAGGTAATAAGATGGAGATAGTACATAATAAGCAGCAAAGGAAGTAACAGCTTGGATCGAGTTGGTTCTAGGTCAACGATGGGGTGTGCATGTGATGCTGCCACTGGATATGTTGTGAATCTGCTAGTTTACTTTGTTAGAGACACATCATTTAATCCTGAACTGAACGGACAGTGGTCATGCTGTAAAAATCTTTTCAACACTTATGAAACCACTAGGCAAGGGCCACCATATTTTTACAGACAGATATTTTACAACAAAGGTGCTGCTTGATCATCTTCTGCAGCAAGAAACTTATTTTACTGGAACTTTTGAATCTGAACCGTAAAGACTTTACACCACAGCTACGGGTTCACACTGTCAACCACCTAGAAATGAAGTGGTAAATGCATGAGATAGACAGAATACTTTGTGTCGCTTTCAAGGATAAAAAAGCTAAGAAAGAGGTAATTGTTGTCTCAACACATGCTGAGGTAGCAACAGTGCCAACCAAGGAAGGTATCATCAAGCCTGCAGTCATAGACAGCTACAACCAGTCCATGAATGGATGTGACTTGTTGGACCAAAGAGTGGGCTACTATGGCATTCACTGCAGAAAATCAATTAAGTGGTGGAAGAAGATATTTTTGTGGATGTTTGAGATTGTCCAAGTAAACAGTTATATCATATACATGCTTAGTTCAGGAAAAAAGATGGGACTGCAAGATTTCAAACGCCAGCTCCTGAATCAACTGACTGAAGCAAGTGCAAAGGAACTGGTATCTACAAAATATAATTTGCAGCCCGAGGTGCTGTCTACCATCCCTGAGAATATACAGGGCTTCTCACTGACAAAATTTACAGACAACAGGCACCTAATTATGTTCAGAATGCAATATTTGAAATGTACTCTTTGCAGCCTTCCATCCAAACCCAAGCGCACACACTTTTATTGTTCAGGATGCCTAAATTATCTGCACTTGCTCCCACAGTGTTTTGCTCCATATCATCTAAAACCATAGATTTATATCTATGAACAGGTTGACTTGTTTACAGTGCCTTTACAGTTTTTTCTATGTGAGGAATTCAATTGTTTTTAGAAAAGTCACTGTTTGTGCCACAGGAGAAAATATCTTATCCTGTTATGGTAGTGTTATCAAAATTGTTATGGAACAAAAACTATTGCACATTTTACTTTAATATTGGCTGTGCCTACTTATAAATGGTGTACCTTCATTTGTGATTTTGAATATACTATATCAAGAATTTTGAGATCACCTTTTGGGTAAGGGGAAAAAACTTGTTCATAATTTTCTCACCTCTCAAACTAAGTCACTGTTTTCTTTACTAAATAATAACTAACGGTATAATTGTTTGTTGTAGCAGTATGCTAATATTAATCCTAATCCATTTATGTTCATTTTCACGTATGATATGTGCATGTGCAACATACATCAGCTGCAGTTGTGTGGTCTGTTTTAAAGTGCTGCACTTGTTAAAAGTCAAAATCATATCCCCCCCCCCCCTCCTTTACTTGGGCTTGTGATGCAAAACCCCCTGGAACTCAAAGAGTTAACAAACTAAAGTGTTTTGTCACCCTGTTACATTAATAAGGAAGTTAGGAGGCAAATAAGGACAGATAAAAAGAAATATTTAGATCACCTAGCACAAGAAGCGGTGACAGCAGGAGCAAAAAGAAACCTAAGAGACCTTTACAGTAGTAACACAAGGAAGTTAGTAGGTAAATATAGTCATCCAACTGAGTCAACCAAAAATAGCCAAGGACAGGTACTCACTACCTTAAGATCAAATAAACAGATAGGCTAAATATTTTGAAATACTTCTAAATAGACCAGCCCCAAAATATTAGGAAATGGAATGGGATATCAATTGTGAGATACCCTATAAAAAAGGAAATTAAAGAAGCTATCAATCTTCTGAAGGAAGGAAAGGCAACAATTCCAGATGGTACCACAACAGAAGTCTTTAAGGCCAATATGAACACATCAACGTAATTGCTACATATATTATTTTGCCAAGTCTGGGAGACCGAAGAAATACCAGCAGACTGGAAAGAAGGATACTTGTGAAACTGCCCCCCTTCCCCAAAGGCAATATACAGGAGTGTGAAAACTACGGAGGAATTGTCGGCTCCTGGGAAAATATTAAGTAAGATTGTTTTAGAAGGACTGAACGATGCTATTGATGAAAAGCTAGACGATGACCAAACAGATCATGTACAGACCAGTTAGCCAATTACATATAATAAAAGAGCAGGGCACTGAACTGAATTCACCACTTTGCATTGGATTCATAGACTATGAGAACGCTTTTGACAGACTGATAGGAAATCTCTCTGGAAATTAATGGGACACTGTGTTAAATTAGTAAGGGCAACCTGTAAAGTCATGTGATGTCGAGTTCTTAATGGGGGTGGGCTAACAGATATATTTGAAATAAAAACAGGTGTGCCACAGAGATGTCTTATTTTGTCGTTTCTCCTATATTTCTGGCAATAGACTGGTTTATGGAGATAGCAACTTCTAGCCGCAAGAATGGAATTCAGTAAGTAAAGTAAAGGACCCTTTCCACGCCTTTAGGCGTATAGGGCATATAGGGCTAGACCTATATTTTTATAGACCAACGGCACAAGATGGGTGATGTGGTCAGCATCACGCCGGCCGCCTCAGCTTCCCGGGATTGCACCCGGTACCCACTCAAGGCTGGGTTTACCTGGGAGCCAAGTCATTTTTAAAGAAAAGTCCGTCTCCGCCAGGGAGCGAACCCACGACCTTCCGATCCGCAGCGCGCGTCTAGCCGCTCTGCCACGGCGACTCCCATGGAATTCAGAGGACCCCTACAAAACAGCTTGATGATCTAGACTTTGCTGGTGATTATTTCTCTTCTGTTCAGTTCACGGGGCCAGATGAAAGATAAATTAAATATACTTGATGCGAGATCACAACTGCTAGGTCTGAAAATCCATAAGGAAAAGACAAGATTGGTGAGAATAAATCAGGCGAATAGTAATGTAGTTTCTCTTAAGGGTATCCCACTCCAAGACGTTGGGCAGCAATGTAGGTAAAGATGGGGGGAACTGATAGAGTTATTGAAATACGAATACAAAAGGCAAGAGGAGCTCTCATAGCACTAGCGATTTTGTGGAAGTCAAAAGAAATTAAAACTAATACTAATCTTAAAATTGTGAATGTCCTAACACTAGAACCCACAGAAGTATGGAAATAATGGAAACTCCCCCCCCCCCCCACACACACACACAAACCATACACACATGGAGAATGGAGCTAGATAGTTAAGTTAAAAAGATGGAAAGGACATGGGGACAGCTACATGCGATAAAGAAGGATGCAACGACTTGGCGTGAGTTGGTTGAGGGCCTATGTTTCACCGGGAGATAGAAAGCCAAAAGAAGAGTTGTGATGCTTGAATCACTGAAGTCTTGTGAAACCTATCCCTCACACCATCAGAGTGTTATTAGCTGGTGAATTTTTAGGGTTAGAATATCTTTCCCACTTCTGATGATCTCAATAGGAATTCTATCTTTGCCTTGGGCCTTCCCCAAAAGCAAGTTTATCAATAGCATGAGTAACTTCTACAACTGTTGGAAATGTGTCCAGATAGTTCAGAGTTGGTATCGACTTCATAACATTAAGAGCACTGTCTGTTGTTAGTTTGGTCTCAAACAAGCACAGCTCCAGTTAATGTTCAGTCTACCTGAGTTGAAAGTAACCCCCCCCCCCACCCATCCATTTACCCGAATTTCCTCAACCCCCCCCCCCCCCTCCGTATCAAGTCATAGCGCCATGTACTGTGACCCCTAAAACTCTTTATCAAACACACCCACAGAACGCCTTCAGCCCCTCACTGATCCACCAAAACTAACACCATGATACGATACCCTTCTCCTTTGTTATAATTATTATACTTTGTTACATAAAAAGTCATCGTTCCAGACCGCGGCACCCTCACCGGCTGTGGCACCCGCACTACCGGCACCATCCACGGCACCACACCACCTGCGGGACCAGCAGAGGCTGCTGCACCCGCACCACCTGCGACTTCCGCACCACTAACCACTTACACACCACCCCCGGTACCCGCACCACCCGCGGCACAGCCATTACTTGCGGCACTGGTACCAAACGCCACATCTGCATCCCCTAAACCACAAGTGGCATCAGCTACACCCCGTGACACCCTCTACTTCCGCACCACCCACGACCTGAAATATAGACACAGACAATAATACATCAGAAACCTACGACATGATTACCACCCATATATCAGACCACAACTAAGTAGTATGGAGGCACATATTCACCACTTGATAACAGAGTCATAAACAACCTATGGTAGCAACAAAGAAACACCTACGACATGGTTGACCACCCATATACCAGACTAACCCATATATCGTAGCCTAGCCACACACCACAACACCCTGGTTTTTTCCCCCTTAAAATAGCATCATATGTTAACTCCATCCTTTTTATAAGCATGACGCGACAGGCTATTGCTGGTATTACATGTTTCTGCAGGCTATTCCAACCAGACGTTGTAGGCTATTGCAGGCATTGCAGCCTACCTAAAACATCCTTACATTACTACTTCCGAAACCTTAATGTGGGGAGGGTTGGAAGGGGTTGTTTGATGAAGGATAGACCAACTGACCTCTAACAAGGTTAGTTGCGTATCCTTTACAGGACGTTGCAGAACCAACCCCAGCAGTCCTGGCTGTGGTGTGGTTTTCTAGGCAAATTTACGTCCAGTAGTTTGCCATTGCTTTTTGGACGACCTCTAAACCTCTAACAAGCATATCATAAAATCGACCAAATAATGTTGTTTCCTTCAAAGTCAGAGTGATCTACCTTATAGGCAAGAAATGAACAGTTTGCACACAAATATGCCAGGTCTGGAAAATGGATGTGCACTCAAATCTCAAATTCTGGAATAAAAATAAAGTCCAGAAGTGGGTGAACAAACAGAACTTTCTGCTGAAGTTTACAGCAGGTGAAAGCGAAGACAAAGAAGAAGAAAAGATAGCAGTAATTAGTCTTATTAGTAGGAATGGAGGGGGCTTCGTTGTCTCGAGGCATGGTGTCCACCTCGAGTGCTAGTGCTAGAGGTTCCGGGTTCAATCCCCGGTAAGGGCTGAGATTTTTTCACGTAGACTTGGACTTCTAGTAATTCCCCCTGGTCTCTGGGTTGTGAGATCGGACGCCCGTGTGTATTATTGCACGTAAAAATAATCCCTTGGCAGTTGGGAATCGAAAAGAATAGCCGGTGCTACAGAGCCTGTGCACCGTGTTGAGCTTCTTCGGACTCAAGACTTGAGTTAGAAGAAGAACGGAGCTCTTATGGGTTACACCGGTGTGCCACGATGTTGATCTGTTGTTTAAAAACCTCAAACTTAGTATGAGTGGAAACACGAATCAAGTGATAGGCAATACTGTAGTATAAAAGAGTGACTTTTAACCCCACCCAGACCGCACAACGAGCGACTAACACCCGGTGACACAAAGTCTCAGAAATCCCGTTCAACCATTATATTATATTAGGCCACCGTTAACGCCTGGGTGGTGCTTTAAAAAAACCACCACAACAATTGAGTCGCATACTAGGACGGGGTTAGGTAGTATAAGTTACTATAAATACATAATATTCTTCAGCCTTAATTGTGATTAGTGTTAACGTAATTATCACACTTCGAAAACAAGAACTTAGGTCTCTATTCCTTATCAGTTCTGAGACTATTGGGATTGTATTTAATATTCGTGTGTACTTTACTAATTAAAAATAAACCATATGTATGTATATAATGGTACAGACTACTGTATTTTACATTCTTGTAAACTATATTAACTACAAATAAATCACTTGTGCATATAACGGTATAATATACGCCTTGTTTCTGGCCATCTCCTACCATTACAAAAATTAACTTGTCGACAGCTATTCGTCTGCACAATACTGTCTCATCATCGTTAAAGTCACGAGGAGG